GAGACTATCGAGAGTGTCTTGGGTGGGCTCCAGGTCTGTGATTTATGGACAAACCACAAGCCAGGAATCTGCAATCTAAGCTCCTTGAGCAGCAACTGTTTAAAACATTATGGGAAGAAATGACCACTGTTTCCAAAAGAAGAAAACTTGGGACCAATTAATAACGTTTAGCACTTCTGTAGTGCCCCACAATTGTGAATTAATCCTCCCACTCTCTTTGTCAAGTAAGTCAGAATTATTCTTACTGTACAAACAAGGTTTGCACAAAGCTTAAATCAATTTCCCTAAGAAACAGTGAATCTGAGTTACAGACACAGCCCAGGACTTGAGAATCTCAGCACAAAGTGAAACCAACCTCCAGGACCCAGAGGCATAAAGACAAGTACCTGCTGGGTTTGGATGGGGCGATCAACACCAATGTAACAGCAACTTCGAGAGCGTCTCTGCCCAATACCCTGTTCATTTGGAAATTCTTCCCAGGGCAGTTCTGGGTCTGCCTGACCCTTATCCAGTGACATCATGTGTTTTCCCAGTAACCACCACTTTCAAAAATCCCTGGGGTCTCAGAGGTGACCTGGAAGCTTGGCCCCTCACTGAAATGATCCTGTATGAAGTCCTTCCCAGTTGATTGTCTCCCTTATTGCTTGGGAAGAGCACGGCATACTAAAATCTAGCTTGCTATGTTTCTCAACCCAGAACAGTTCACCTCCTGGAGCGGGCTGAACACAAGTTTTCCTTTTCTTTCATCAGCAGGAAGCTTTTCTTACAGGAAAAAAAGAAAAAAAGAAGAAGAAGAGTCATTTGTTCTCCCTCTGCAATCAGCATCATCTTTTGCTTCTCCTTTACCTCTCCCTTTACACTTGACCTCCATCTTCTCTAGACCACTTAGTGGCCAATGCTGTGGCTGCAGCACGGTCCAAGAGGGAAGTTTCTCTGCCTGGACAGTCATTTTCCTGCTCTCACCCATGACAGAAGGTGCTCCTTGGTGCTGTCTCCCACTGTCAGACCTGAAGCCCCTTCTAGCAAGAATTTTATCTCAAACCACAAGCCCATTCCCATCACACTCCTCCTGGAAACAGTCTGGCATGTGGACAGGAAGGAATGGGTAAAAAAAGTCAGCCGCAAGTCCTGGTCAAAATGGAATAGCTGGCAGGAGAGCGAGGACCAAAGGCTTCTGTAAGTACTTAAATGTGCAAGGACTCCTGATGGTCTCATTGCTGTTCATCTGTTTACAGCAGCAGGGAGGATGAAGCGTTGGGAAAAGAAGCAGTTTCCTCCTCTTTTTAAATTTATATGGCAAAAGGTGTCATGATGGATTGTCCATTAAACATCTGTCCCACGTTATTCTACATGTCAAGGTACGATCTGCGAGGGCTTTGAGGTCAGGTGATAGCAGTTAACAAAGAAGCAGTCTGTGAAGCCAAGCAAAGCTGGGTCCTCCTTTAGCAGCCCAAGTAAACGAGGGGTAATTGGGGTTAAAACCTGATCCAGAAGTGAATCAGCAACTAAATCCTTAATGGAACTGTCCCAGATAAAGCCCTTAGAAACTCGGGAAGCCAGAGCTGTGACAGGAGGCAGAGGGAGATTCAACTTGAGTTTTGTTTTACTGCTGTATCTCAATCACTGGACTTGTTCTGTCTGAAGTGGTTTAGCAGGTATTTAAAGAAAAACAAGTGTTCTCTGTTATCTCACAATATGCTTCCAGAAATCAAAGGATATGGCTTAGTTTTTATTTCAAGTCAGGCGTAGTATTTTTAATGTGGTTAGAGATTCTTAGCATGTGTTTAATGCCCAGTGCCCTTCCTGAATGATGGTGATTCTTCTTGGAAATTATATTTGATTTCACCTCCCAGGAGAACAAGACAAATTTTGGTTTCTAACAAGTTAATTTGACGTGCACACTCTCTGACTCGTGCTGCGTGACTCGCTGAATGGAAACACATCTATTTTTCTGGCAGGCTTACAAGAGGAGATGGATATGCTGGCATGCACCATCC